AGCAATGTGTTCATACCTGTCCTCCAGCCAGCTGCTAGCTAGTCTATGTAATAATTAGCAATAAGATCAAGTGGAAGGTTATCACTTCTTTATATTATTTTACGTAAACAGCAATATATAGAAGAGGAAGTTCAGCTAGTGGGCTTTCTAGGACTTCTGTGATTACTTCTAGTAAATGTAAGCTTTTGGAGGTGGACGGCATACCCTTAATGCTGAGGAATACAAAGCTACCAGTTCTTAAATTTTTTTGCAAAAGACACACATCAGACCTAGCAAACTCACCACTAATCAGTTCAAAAGAAATTCATGAAGCCAGTGGTTAGTTTAAGTACAGACTGGTGTGACACGGTGAGCCATGTGGGGGTACTTAAAGAAGCATGCATGCATGGTATATCATGGCTACAAACTGATTGACAGCTTGATCTTTACCAGAGGAACCTCTTTTAATGCCCAAGGAAATCAAGTTTACAGTTCAGACACTCTCATTAGGCATATATGGCATCTTAGATAATGTCATGTACAGATGCCGATGACCTTCCACTTGATGAAGGAGAAAATCCCCTCTATTTCACCATTTTTCCACATTGTCTGTACATCACACAAAAACACTATTTCACCACTCTTCCACATAGATGTTCATCAAACAAAAAATGAAACTTAAGTGACTTTCTAAGGGCCTGAACAGTATGCTATCAGTTTCAAATTGATTTCACCTTCTTCCCATACGAGGTCAAGTAGCTTTTCTTCATTCCCTCAAGCAACACTGGGAATGGAATCAAATTCTAACTTCATGAACTCAAGAAAAAAGAGAAAGTTGAAAAAGGGAATGCAATAAATTCCAAGTTCAGAAATACAAGGAAAAGGATGGTAAATTCTTAGTATGAACTGTCAAAGATGAGCATATTTTCTCAGATTATCTTGAGCACGGAAGTAGAGGAAAGCATGTGAATGTCAATCAGCAAATCTGTAATCTCTAGTTTCTCTTTAGTGCATCCATGATAACCCTATTTGTTTAGAAGATCGAGAGTTTCATAGAGAACCATATTTTTTGTAGGTTCTCTACTTTTTGATATTTGGCTAGTACACAGAATGACAATGGTGTTTGGGTTGACTTGTGGGGGTTTACCCCACTAAACTGTCAATTAGTAACCAGATTGCTCATACCTTAAACCAACCATTAGACTAGTGACCCTATAAAAAACTTATTCATTACAAGAGATAGGAATGGGATATAATTAGGGATTCAATTCACATAAAACATCAGCTTAGTGGAATAGACGTCCATTACAACTTAACTGAAGAAGAAAAAGTTTATCCATAAAAAGTGATCTCCAATTATTAACCACGAAGTAGTTCATAATCAAAATTAATAGCATTAATACTAGATTAGGCGAGGAAAATATATATATATATATATATATATATAGATATATAGATATATGCATGCCAACAACATGGAACATCATTTCCGATAGAAAAGATGGACAACCAATCAAGTTCGTATCCAACACAGCCCAGCAGTATGTATCAGACGGTCAGGCCTGAATGATGACAGCTTGGAGACACAAGGATTTTCAAAATGAAACCCATTGGTTAGCTAATACTAGGAAGTGGAATCATTCCCCCTAACTCAGCTGAATGAAGAACTAGCTCAGTTCATCGTTTGGTGTCCCAAAAATCCAAGCCCTATCTACACTTGACATATTGGTATTCTAGCAAAGACCTAAATATCCCAATTTTTCTCCACTGCTAGTGGATTAACTAGAAGGACCAAAAATTGAACCAAGAGTAAATGCTCAGTTATGTAACAAATTTAACAATGCCTTTGCCTTATCAAAACACTGTAACTGTACATATACAACAAATGAAATGCAACATTACAGAATTAAACATACCAGTATTTGGGGTCACCCAAGCACACCTTTTCTTCATCACCGAAGCATCACCCGGAGTGGGACTTGAAGCCAAGCTCTGACCTTCACCAACAGTTTTTCCAATTTTCTCAGACTTCACCACTTTCGGACTACTACATTGCTTCCTTCTTCCAGCCGTCGGCGTCACACTCCCACGGCTCAATTTCCCCGTTGTCGATGCTCGGCTATGAGAAGAATCCGTCGAAGCATCCGAAGAACAAGACGCATTAAGCGACAAATTAGGCCTCATCATCAATGACCTATGGTCCTGTTGCTGTCTCAAAATAGAAGGCACAGCTCCTCCACATTTCTTCGAAGCAGCCACCGGCGCCCGTGATTGCGGTACGGAATCCGTTCCCTCAAATTTCTTACCCTTAGACTCTTCACTTTCAGCAGCCTTCTTAATAGGCTTCTCAACGGGCTTTCGTAATTCAACGGATCTAGCTTTGTTACCCGCCGGACCGAGCACTGATCGGACTTCAGAATCAGCATTGTTCATCAATTTAACCCTAGGTCCTCCAGACATTGAAACAATTACAACTCCTAGTAACTAGAAATTCGTCGAACTTAGCATGAATTTCTTCAACTGTGCTTAGCTAGGGTTGAAGAGTAAAACAGTGAAGGGAAAAAGAAGGTGCATTGTAATTGTATGGACCGGAAAGTAGAGAATTAAAACCCTAGAGAGTGAGAGAGCAGATACATTATCGGCGAGAAGAATTTATTGAGAAAATAGTGACTGTCCGATCTGGGAAACCAACGGCGACTTCTTTAAAGATGTTTCTAGAGAGAGAATTATACTACGCCTCTTTCTCTCTTCACTTGCATTTTAGTGTGATCATCGAAACTAACCAATTATCTGTTGCCACGTAATATTAACCTTTTACTGTGATTTATTTTATTAAAAATTAACTTTATTAATTAGATTTTCAAAAATCTAAACATAGCGGAGATTTAGTGCACAAGACTGTCAATAATTCACGTTCTATAATAAGTGTCACTTTAGCTCATTTCACGCTAATTAAGAAAAATAATAGTAAGGATTTTCTTCGTTAACTTTTTTTTTACTTATCAATTTTAAATTTTATACCCTCCTTAAAAAACAAGAATTGAACACTATATATTTATTATAATAGTATGTGTTTTCTTGAAAATTGAGCACTGCAAAGAAAAAGTTTTTTTCATATAAGATATAATTTGAAAAACATACAAATTTCAGTTTTAAATTTTTAAGATGATGTTTGTTTTAGAATGAAGAGATTTTTTTTAACTTGTTAAAATAAACAAGTAGAAAAACTTTATTTATGTTCATTCATCACCATGAATTATTATTTCTCAATTTACTTTGTATTTTATTTTTTGAAAGTAGGTGTTGTTATACTTGATTGAAGGGAAAATTATTATTTTTTAAAATGATATACTTTGGAATAATATAAATTTTATTTGACTAAATTTAGAATAAAAAAGGATATGCTACCTACTAACCCTTAAAATGTCTTTTTTAATAATTGAAAACACACACATAATTGGACCAAATTTGGAAATAAAAAAATAAATGGGAAAAGGGGAATTAATTGCCAACTTAAAACACAATTTAATTAATTAAGGATAAGCACGAATCTAATTATAGAGCTTAATTATTGTTCATCCATTACTGTGGAAATTGAAGATAGCTTTTCAATTTGTGAATTGTGATGGGTACTTGATTGTGGAGTGGCATCTACATCTATTTTTTCTACGCAAAATTTAGAAATTTAAAGTTTCATTTGTTATTTTTTTTTGAGTATATTGGGGTTGGGGGTATTAATGGTACGATTCAATCAGTTATTTCTAAACTAGACTATTATTAATTTAGATTAATAAATGAATTTTTAAGTACAATTTTAGTTTCATGAACATCTTCACATATTTTAATAAAGATCATAAAAGGAAAAGAAAAAAAAAAGTGTAGCCTGTTTTATAAAAGAGGTACCTTATAAGTAAAAAATATTAGTGACATATCCAAGCTAGTTTAGTGAATAAAACAAAGCCTAATAATTTACTTTTTTTTCTTTTATGATCTCATCATCTCTTTTTCTGAATATAATCTTTTTTTTTTCCTTTTGATCTCATCATTGATTCTGTTTATAATCTTACTTTCTTGACTTAATTGGTACACAATTTTGTGGAGTTCCTTTCCTTTTCATGCATCTTGTTTTCTCCTTGATTGCATATTAAGCAATCTTTTATAGGAAAACTGTACCTGATTCTCCCTATGATTGATGGAGCAGCAATATAGCATTGTTATTTGCTAGCACTTTGTATTTTAGCTAACACAAGTAGTATAAATCACAATTCCGATACGATAGATATGATCTCTTCATCTTAGGACATATCTAGACTTATATTTGTAGGTTCACCGAAGATATATAAATATTTATTTGTGAACTCAATTATTACTTTATATTAATTTGAGATGATTGTAAGAACTTATAAAATTTAAATTTTGGATCCATCTCGTAGAAAGAATTGCCCAACCCATATTAAGGAGACCACCCATGCGCCTTTTCCATTCGATGTAAGATTCTTCAACACCCATTTCACGTCCAGGACTGGATATTTGGTACATGTACAATTTGATTTAGGGGCTCATCATGAAGAATACTAATTGGGATAGATCCTTTTATGATCTTGGATCTAACTCAATCCAAAAGCTAATTCAGCAACATTGTCCAAGGCTCCAAGCCATTTAAGGAGACCACTCCTTTTTCTTCCGATGTGGGACTCTTCAATCAGTTCAGGGTATGAGAAAAATCTTAGTAAAGAGTGTTTTCTCTTTAATCAAAATTTATGCAGCACAATTCTAAATTAATTAGGTTATCAATATGGGTATTAGACACTGGATTGATTAAAAAAAGCAAAAAATTAGTATTCCATCCTCTCAATTTATATGATTTAATTTAATGAATGAAATACTAACTAAAAAAGTGTATCACATAAATTAAGATATACAGAACAGTCGTAAAAGACAAGGCAGGAACAAAGTGACAACACTGGGACCTACTTATCTAACAACCTTCACACATTCAAATCCAACGTCACCTTGTGCTATAGTTTTTAGCTATCCCCAAAAAAGTTGCAGAATTTTATGATACACTCAAAAATGGCTGCCACTACTACTCTACTACCTAACTCCATTTCTCCTTTCTTTACTAATTCACCTTATTTTGCTATAACCCATGTCACAAATGTACCTTTCTTGAACAACAATCCATCTTTTTCCGCCAGAAAATCAGGGATTTTTTGCCCCAATGCCAAGAAAAAAAATCCATGGCTTGACCCTTTTGACTATGGTGATGATCCTGAAATGGAGTATGGTTCACTTTTTTCTGAAGGCAAACAAGATGAAGATCCAAGGCCACCTGATAATCCTGATAACCCATATGGATTCCTCAAATTCCCAATGGGATACTCTGTTGAAATTGCTTCATTGGGTTTGAAAATTAGAGGTGATGTTAGGAGATGTTGTTGTGTTATTGATGGTGGGGTTTATGAGAATTTGCTGTTTTTTCCAGCAATTCAGATGATTAAGGATAGGTACCCTGGTGTTCAAGTGGATATACTTGCAACAGCCAGGGGAAAACAGACATTTGAGATGAATAAAAATGTGAGGTGGGCTAATGCATATGATCTGGATGATGATTTTCCTGAACCAGCTGAGTATACTGATATGGTTGGAATTCTTAAGGTTTGACGCCGTTCCATTAACATCAACAGATCATTGTGTAAATCTACGTTGCTTGGACTCTTCAAAAATGTAGTGCACTACTTTTGGAAGTCTAACATTTTTGAAGAGTTCGAGCAACATAGGTTTAAACAAGTTTTTTCATTCCAAGTCTGATTCTTGTTGTGTCTTAATGTATATATGTAATGTAAGCATGTTGCATCTTAAAATTAGAGAAAACATCAAACATTATAAGGACACTTGGTTAGGTACGAAGATTTAATTATGATTATCTTAATGAGTAACCTGATTGTGTAAATATATATTACTTGATAGAACTTAAATTTGTTCCCTTATTGTGTAGCTAAGCGACCTCGATGGTCCTAGTCTAACTGCAGGTGCTGTGCTCTCAAATCTCGATATATTGACTGCTCTCCGAACCTAACATCCATAGTGTGGTGAATTTTTGATAAAATAGCTAGTATAACTAACTACATATGCTTGCAGATAATTCTAAAGTTGAGCAGATCACATTTGGAAAAGAATTGCTTACATTAGTTTCAAGATATTAATCGCCTTGTTTAGTCAGATGGAGATTAAAAATTTTGATCCCTGCATTATTAATAGAGAGTTCTAGTCATTTTTTTGGCTAAGTTATTTGCTCTAATGCATGATTTATTGCAGAGTAGGTACTATGATATGATCCTGTCAACCAAACTGGCAGGGATTGGACATGCAGTATTTTTGTTTATGTCGACTGCTCGTGACAGAGTTAGCTACATTTACCCAAATGTGAATTCTGCAGGAGCAGGATTGTTTCTGTCAGAAACTTTTACACCAGAAACCATGAACCTTTCCGAGGGCGGATATCATATGTAAGTAGATGTTCCAACTAATAACTTCATTTTTTGACAACTGAATAGGGAGTTTGAAAAGTGCAACAGTTGTACTTCGTCAAAGCTTGTATCACATGTTTACATACACTTTTTTGAAATAGGTACCGTCAGATGATTGATTGGTTGGGCAGACCAGCTCGTAAAGTACCACGACAACCTTTACCTCCACTTAAAGTATCAATCTCAAGAAAGGTTAGGGAGGTTGTGGAGGCAAAATATAAGAATGTTGGTGCACAGAAAGGCAAATATATTGTGATTCATGGGATTAAATCAGATTCAAAAGCTTCTATGCAGTCAAGGGGTGATACTGATAGCTTGCTCCCAATTGAGATATGGGCTGAGATAGCAGAGGAGATAAGGTATAGTGTCAGTTCATTATCCTTTGGAGGGCATGCCTATAGGGTCATATTTTGAGTTCTCAAATTGACTGATTAGTCTTTTTCATCAAATGCAAGAATTTCTGCGAGGTATACTAATGGATTGTGAACTATTGTTTGATCAGGGGAGTCAAGCCAGTTTTTGTCATTCCGCATGAAAAAGAAAGAGAAAATGTGGAAGATGCAGCTGGTTATGATGCTAGTATAGTGTTCATAACCACCCCTGGACAGGTTTGTTTTCTCAACCATTTTCACGATATCAATGATCGATGAACCAGTGCTTAGTTGAATAACCATAAACAAAGAAATTGGTTGGAGTCAAAGATATAATGGCAACAATTCACCTTATAGTCAAGGAGGGTATAATCAAATGAAATAGTCTTCTTCTGTTGCATGTTAGTGACAGCTTTAACTATAGTCTATATACCACGGTGAGCATTAGAAAACTAACAGTCCCCACAAATTTCTCTGCCTTAGCTTGCTGCTCTTGTTGATGACTCTGCTGGAGTGATAGCTACAAATACAGCTGCCATACAACTTGCTCACGCACGTGGAAAACCAAGGTAACGTCATGTACTACAAACTGTAAACGCGGAATTTCTTTCACCTTTTGCTGTCTTTGTGGGGGAGGTTGATATATCTTGGTTGTCTGTGCAGTATTGGGCTATTCTGCTCTGAGGATAAGGCCAGAAGTTTTGTTCCCAATGCAGAAGCAAAAAAATGTGCAACTATTTCATCAAAGACTGGAAAATTGGTTGATATTGATGTTGAAGCTGTGAAGAGTGCTGTTCAAATTTTCACCATGCCCCTAGCAATCTTCTAATATTGCATCTTCCAGTTCTCTTCCATATAGTAATGAAGTATTCCTGTAATTGTTACTATTCCATTTTCTTCTCAATTGTAATTAATAGAAGCGGAAAGATATTTTCGTTCTTTTTTTATCTCAACAACAAAGGAATATGAAGATATGTTATTTATCAATATGGCGTTTTAGGACATTTTGATATCTTGTTTATGAAGTTGGAAAGATTGTTTAAGAATAAAGAATTTCACAACTTGTAGGATTTTCATGTTTTAGAGAAAAAAATACTACAACTAAAAAAATTAAATTACATGTTTAAAGGAAATTTCAACTTCAAATCTGATTTCAAATCACGATTTTGTATTGTATGTGCAAAGTGCAAACAACAGTAAATATACATATGCCTTGTTAAAATAAAATCCCACAAAAATAGAGGACATAATATTATGAGGTCGTTTTCAAAATTTCAATGGGCCACGAAAATGTAGAATCGGTCCATATCATTGGGCCTGCTTCCCCAATTTGTGCTCAATGTTTTAATTTTGAGGAACTTTCACATATAGTCAGTCAAAAATAGCCTAATTACTCTCCATAGTTATAGTTTGATAATTACAATTCGTAGCTACATGTCATAGGGAGGAGAGAGTTGAGCGAGACTGGAAGAGAGAGGAAAGAGGCGAGCGAGAGAGGGCAAAGAGTGGGCGAGAGGTGAATTGCATATGTATATCGGTTAGATAATTGTATATTATACATATGTATTTGTATATTCTAGCTAATTATACATATATACAAACGTGGCTAATTATACAAATTCGAAGTCAGCTCACGTAATTAATGTATAATGTTAGTCGCGAGGGGTAATTATAACAAACTATAGCTATGATGAGTAATTGAGTAGTATAAATTTGCTTAACCGCGTAATTTTTCCTTTAATTTTTGTACTGTTCTCACTTCTCACTTATACTTTTTTTTTTCTTTTAAATAAAGATAAAAGGGAAGGGACGTGCACTGCAAAAAAATCATGAATTCAATGAGATTCCTCCGCTCTTAATTAAAAATCTTGAGCTCATATTTTGGATATGGAAAATTCTTGTTAGCTGAGTTTGATCATCTTTTAATGAATCTTACGTGGCGTGAATCTGATTTTATCAAGCCAATGATATTAGATGGAGTATTGGATAATTAAAGGAAAAGTGGAAATTGATCTACATGCAATAGAGAAACTTTACTCATAAGTACTTACCAGTAAAAGTAAGAAAAATCTTAATTTTAGATAATAGGATACTCCCTCTGTCCCTAATTATTTGTCTACTTTTCTTTTTATAGTTGTCTCTAATTTCTTGTCCATTTTGACACAAGAAAGGACAAAATAAGTTTACCTATTATACTGTCAATTAATTACTTTGAAAAAGGTAGAATTTCTTGAAAATCTTAAATTTTTAATCCTTTCACTTCATAATTAACATGGGAAAAATAGTAAACTCACTATGTCAATAATTGCTTTCATAATAGGTGTGTCAATTTAAAAGTGGACAAGTAATTAGGGATAGAGGGAGTACTACACAACAAAATCAAATAAAGTTGTTTTATTCCATGAATGAAATATCTATATTACATGAAATTGGAATAATCTTGTAAAGTTTAGTGTCAGCAAGTCACTACTTTTATTTATCATCAAGCTAAAATTTGCAAGTGGGATCAACTTTTAATAGAAAAGGAAGACATACAGGAAATAAATAATAAATAAAATCAAAACATCATTAAACACTTGCTACCTTTCAATCATTATCATCCGTTGGGACTAAGTAACCAAAATTAAACCAAACATAAACATCGTGAGATAGTACTATCCATAAATCATTATCATACGTTGGGACTAAGTAACCATAGTATATTTTATAAAAATACGATGCACATGAAGGCCGTATCATAAAGGGTGTGATGTAGACAGTCTACCTTAATACATATATTAGTGACAAACTACTTCCAAAGCTTGAAATGATGACCTATATAAAAAAAAAACTTTATTATTACTCCAAAACTCCCTTCTAAATAATCATAGTGTATAAAAATAAAAATATTAATAGAAAACGCTTGCAAAAAGATATTAAAGAAAAGGTTACAAACCATGATTAGGACTTAAAAAAGGTGAAGTGGCTAATAACAAATTAAAGGGCTTAAACTTTAATTATTTCTTTTGTTGTTCTATTAGTAGCATTATTATACTGAATGAAAATTTCAATAACTCCTTGAGCAAGATAGGAAAAGTCCAAAAGGGAAAATCATTTTTTAAAATTATGATCCACTTGCTTTGTCCTAACGTTAGAATTTCAAGAGTCAAATTATTAAATTTTTTTACCATTAATCGGATATGAATTTTTATTTTTATTTTAAATAAAATTTGTACTTTATTGAAAAGGTAGCACAAAAGATACTGTTTATTAGGGATGGACAATATGAACCGGCTCGCACATATTCTCTGTTCTCATTTTTATTCTTTAAGCAATATTTCAAAACATGATTCAATAATCTTAATAGTTAATATGAAAAAAGTAGCTTTGTTACTTTACTACAATGATAAGATTCAGCCACCATAAACATTATATTATAAATTAAGACGATGGCAATGAGGTCATAGTATAGAATTAATTCATATTCAACTATATAATATAAATTAATTATATTAAAGTTACAAGTTGTACCTATGACCTAACTTGGACATTACAGAAAAGGATGAAAATTAGAAGAAATCTGGGAAACTAATTAAGAACAAGATTACATTTTAATTAATCATATATACCACACAAATTAATTAAAGCTTACCAACATATATTCTCTTTTGAACATTAGAAATACATTGAAAAATAATATGCTTTAATGCTAATGAATATTTTGTATATTTTACCTTATCATATCATTTCTTGATCCTGTCTTTCAAAAAAAATTGTTCATTACTTAGAAATTCCAGCTTTTTTCTTCTCATTGTTTAGAGAATCAATTTTAGACAAATGGTTATTATGAGATATATGCATTCAACTTAGAACATGCTTTTAAGATAAGGTAGAACTTAATTTAGAATTAAGCAATAATATACAGGTATTAATTATATCATCATTTTTTAATTTTATTTTTTTGAAAAAAATGGAATATATAGGACCTAGTCCTATTATCCTCATCATCACGTGCATAATATATACTCTTTATAATATTTTAATTCAGCTTCTGCTTTATTTATTTATTTACTATAACTTTGAGTTCTTATCCTGGTTAATTTCTATGTGCTACTTAATATATTTGCTAAAAGTAAAAATAGGTCCATCTTGTCTTCTCTTTAATTTTCCTTCTACTAGTTATCTTTGCATTATTAAAGAACACTTACAATTAAAATTATATGCACTTATAATGTAGAAATATTTAAATAACGTAACTAGGTTACTTGTTAAGTAATAGAGAAAAATGTCTGAAATATATTTTCACAAGTCGAGTTTGGAGAGGGTAGAATGTACGCAGACCTTACCACTACCTCGTGGAGATAGAGAGGTTGTTTTTGAAATATCTTCGGTTCAAGTGCAGCAAATCTAGGTACAAAGAAGGAGACAGTGAAGAAAACAAGACCACAACACCAATTAATAATACTTAATAAAAATTAACCTATGATATTACTTAGGGAAAAGGGTCTGAAAAATACTTTAACTTTTGCCAAAATTGTTGTTACGATACCAAATTTTATGGAGGACCTTTTACCCCTCTGCACTATTTAATAGTGTATTTTAAAGGTATATATGTGTCCACGTGGACATCATAAATATTGCATCATTATAAATAATAATGTGCCCACGTGGGCACATATATACTTTTAAAATACACTATTAAATAGTGCAGAGGGGTAAAAGGTCCTCCATAAAATTTGGTATCGTAACAACAATTTTGGCAAAAGTTAAAGTATTTTTCAGACCCTTTTCCCTAAGTAATATCATAGGTTAATTTTTATTAAGTATTATTAATTGGTGTTGTGGTCTTGTTTTCTTCACTGTCTCCTTCTTTGTACCTAGATTTGCTGCACTTGAACCGAAGATATTTCAAAAACAACCTCTCTATCTCCACGAGGTAGTGGTAAGGTCTGCGTACATTCTACCCTCTCCAAACTCGACTTGTGAATTTCACTGGATATGTTATTGTAATTGATGGTGTGGTAAAAAGTAACTAATGTGATATCACATATCGAAAATCTTTACGTACATTATCAATATATATAATTAAAATTCATTTTAATAAGTGTACATAAAGATTTATTTTAATACAAGCAGAGAAGTTTATTATGCGATAGCACTTTAATTACTAACTTTACCACATTACCAATTAATAATACTTAATAAAAAATTAACCTATGATTACTTAATGAGCAACCTAATTATTAAAATATTTCTACATTATATAAAGTTTATATAATTTTAATTTATAAATAAGTATGCTCCATCAGGCATGCATGGCCTATTAACTGTTTGGCGTGTTCGAACGTGAAGGATTAATTTTTTTAAAAAATACCTAATGAGATCAAGAAAAGAGCTTTACTTATTAATTAGATATCGTTTATAGGCAATAAACTTATATATAGCCTTCTATTTTTAGGCTACTTGCCTTAATCACATATATAATTAATGTTGGAGGACTATTAATTAGGGTTAGATTAGATTAGTATCCAATTAAAAGGAAGATCTCGATATTGGTAAACTACCCTAGCTACTAATCCATGTAGGTTCAGATTTCATGTGGAGAAAATCTTTGTTTTCTATAGCTAGGCGGCGGGTTATCAATCAATAATCCAAAGGTTAAGATTTGACACATGGAGCAATAATTTTATAGGACATTAAAAAGAAAGATTGGTATGCGCCATAATGTTAAAAGATTTTGAATTCGAATTTTGAAAATGAAGAGTATAATTATAGGAGATATATTTCGTTAGATAAGTTGAATCTAAATTAATCGATTGTAGATTTTAGATTCATTTAGCTTCTTTTCTCCGTATGCTTGCTTTTCTAGTATATATAGAACTTTATTAGTTGAAATTTTGGTTTTGCCATACTTCAATTCCATATCTTTAATCAGAAAGTTTAAATTCGAGTATTAAAAATGAAGCGAATTATTCTAATAAGAAGCGCTTCTCCTTAAATGAATCATGTCATTGTCATATGATGCAAATCTGAATCAACTGATAGACAAAGTTACTCCATCTTCATGATTAAATTAGGGTTC